GGCCGGGCCTGCCCCAGGAATGGGGGAGCTGGGGTGCGGGGGGCCTTGAGGACCTGCCAGGCCGAGGAGCTGCCTATCCCCCGGTCACCCAGCCCCGGAGCCCTTTGCTCCCGGGACGCATTAGAGTCCCGTGAGTTGGAATCCCAGCCGAGAAATGCCCAACTTTGGGTCTGGGCTGCCTCTTCCTGCTCCGCGCGCCCGCGCTGACTGCTCTCTCCTCCGGTCTCTGTCATCTCGGTCTGTCTCTTTGTCTCTGGTGGTTTCCCCTTCCTCCCCCATCCTGCTCCCCAGAGAGGAAGACCCGGAGGTGGCCTGCCCACTGCTTTCTCACACACACACTCTCTCACTCTTTTTCCAGTTTGCAAACTCAGCTCTGGAGTTCGGCAGCGACAGCAGCAGGAAAAACCTGCCCCTGCCCCCCCTGCTCGCCGCCTCCCCTCCCCTGTTCTCCCTTCACCAGCCAGGCACCCCCAGTTCCTGCCAGGCCCTCCCACCATGTCGGACCCAGACGTCCCCAGGGGCCCCGATGTCCCCGCCATGTGGCTCCCCTGTTCTAGGGGTGCCTGAGCCCCTTCGAAGAGCCACTACCGCCCCGCCCCCCGCCCACTTTGGCCCCATCCTGAGCCCCCGGGACCATGAGTGGGGGCAAGAAGAAGAGTAGTTTCCAAATCACCAGCGTGACCACGGACTATGAGGGCCCCGGGAGCCCTGGAGGTCCAGACTCCCCTGCCCTGCCAGGCCCTACCGGGCCCCCACCCCGCCTGCCCAACGGGGAGCCCAACCCAGAGCCAGGGGGCAAGAGCACCCCCCGGAATGGCTCCCCACCGCCCGGGGCCCCTGCCTCCCGTTTCCGGGTGGTGAAGCTGCCACAGGGCCTGGGAGAGCCTTATCGCCGAGGCCGCTGGACGTGTGTGGATGTTTACGAGAGAGACCTGGAGCCCCCTGGCTTTGGCCGTGTCCTGGAGGGGATTCGTGGGGCCTCAGGGGGTACTGGGGGCAGATCTTTGGATTCCAGGTTGGAGCTGGCCAGCTTGGGCCTGGGTGCCCCTATCCCACAGCCAGGCCTGTCTCAGGGTCCAACCTCCTGGCTTCTCCCTCCTCCCAGCTCCCCTGGACTTCAGGCCCGCTCCTTCACTGGGGGGCTGGGCCAGCTGGCAGTGCCTGGCAAGGCCAAGGTGGAAACACCCCCTTTGTCAGCTTCCCCACCCCAGCAGCGCCCCCCAGAGCCTGGGGCTGGAGATAGCGTGGGCACATCCCGGGCTGCCACGCCCCTGTCCTCCCTGAGGGTGGAAGTGGAGGCCAGGGGCTCCACAGCTGGAACTCCTCCACTGTCCCGGACTAAGGATGGAGCCCTGCGACTGAGGATGGAGTTGGTTGCTCCAGAGGAGATGGGGCAGGTAAGAGCTGGGTTCCAGGGTGGGGGGAGACACCTGAGGGGTGGTGCTTGACCATCTTGGCCTTGGCCTCCACCTCCATACTGACTTCTTCCTACGCCATCATCACCTCCTGTCAGATCACATAGCCCCTCTTTTTTCTTCCTGCCATCTCACTTGGAGTTCCTTTTCTACTCCTCACACAGCCTTTGTTTTCCGTCTCAGACTCCTTCTTCTCTACATTCTTTTTTTTTTTTTTTCATTGATCTCAGAGGAAGGGAGAGGGAAAGAGAGATAGATACATCAATGATGAGAAAGAATCATTGATTGGTTGCCTCCTGCACAACTCCCACTGGGGATCGAGCCCACAACCTGGGCATGTGCCCTGACCAGGAATTGAACCGTGACCTCCTGGTTCATAGGTTGATGCTCAACCTCAGCCACACCAGTCGGGCTCTTTTCTACATTCTTTAGCCTTTCATTTGTCTTTGGCCCAAGTCTCCATCTCCATGTAGCCAGCCTCACCATCTCTCTATCACAGAGATGTGCCCTTCTCACTGTGGCCTTAACCTTCTATCTTAGGCATTGAGGGTGGAGGCCCCATGTTTGGGCCTCTGGGAGAGGAACTGCCAGAGTTGGGGGAGAGGCAAAAAAAGTAGGCATTCTGCTGTCTCTCCTTTGCGGCCCCATTCCCAAGGTGTGTGTGTGTGGGGGGGGGGGGGTT